TCTCTGTGTGTTTCTCTGTGTGTGTGTCTGTGTGGTGTGTGTCTCTGTGTGTCTGTGTGTGTGGTCTTCTCTTTTTAATTTAAGAGATATATACATGACCTCATCTTTAAAACAGACAGTGGTGATATCCTTTTCTAAGAACTTTTTTCAATTATAAGCAAGATACAGTGTTTCTTTTTTTAATTTCCTGTTACAAATTGAGGCACTGTAAAATTGCCTTTATTCTTTTGAAAAAAGCTAGGTTGATTTCAGGGAAGACATCTCATTTAGGAGATTCTGGTTTCCTTCAACTCCTTAGAGGGAATACCTCTAGTATACTGGTTTCTCTTGATAGTCATTGAATATTAAGGGAGTACCTGACAACTGGGCCTAGTTTAGGGCCAGTTTTATAGAATAAGATTCATTCTTTTTTTTTTTTTTTTTTTTAGACAGAGTCTCACTATGTCGCCCTTTGTAGAGTGCTGTGGCACCTCAGCTCACAGCAACCTCAAACTCAGCCTCCCAAGGAGCTGGGACTACAGGTGCCCACCACAATGTCTGGCTGGTTTTTGGTTGGAGTTGTTGTTGTTTGGCAGGCCTGGGCTGGGTTCGAACCCACCAGCTCTGGGGTGTGTGGCTGGTGCTCTAGCTGCTTGAGCTATAGGCCCTGAGCCAGATTCATCTTTTTTTGAAAGATTGCAGCATCTAGGTAGGTTATGTTGGTGCCTGGTCTGCATTTAAGTTACCCACAGTGCCTTGCATATGGTAGGCATCCAGTGTTAGTTATTGAATTGAGCCAAATGGAAATCGGATTCATTGAGCTTTCTGTGGATGAGATACCAGGTATCTGTAAACAGTCATTTTTAGGTGTTAAGTCTTAAAAAGCATATTGCCCTTAATAGCAACTCTGTGCTACAACACTAAATTCTTTTAGTAATAAAAAGGATCACACACCACAGTGAGGTATTTTCTTAAGGAATGAACCAGGGATGACCCAAGATTTCTATATGTTTAAAACAATTTCAAATTTAACATCAGATGCTGGCAGGATGTTTCTAATAGCTGGGTTAGCCGGGACCTAAAGGTGCCTTTGGTTACTGACCTCTGATTTCACTGAGGTTGCATGGAAGTGTTTATGTTTGGCTTCTCCTGTGCTAGTTCGTTGCCTCAGCATATCATTTACAAATACTAGAGGGCAAGTTGAAGAGTAAACAAGTATTTTCAATCTTTTATATAATAAGCAAATAAAAATCACTCATTCTCCAAGCACTATTTTAAGTGATCTGTTTGTGAGGTTTCATTCCGCTTTACAATCTTGGCAGCTACTTTCTATTCAAAGAATTCTCTATCTACCCCGCAGGATAAGGCTGGCCTCTGGGTAAACCTGTTTACCAGTCCTCGATCATGGACCCCCGTCCAGGGCTATGCCGGGTGTTTAACTAGTTCCGTTTAAGTAGCTGCAGTCTGGATTTCCAGAGTCCCTGTCCTTCTCTCTTGATCTCCTGGTCTCTGGCATCCTGAGCTCTAACAGAACACTGTCATACTGCAGAGGGCAGTTGAACTCTTTATCTGGGCTTTTTACTGAGAAAGCAGAATTTGCCCGGAACAAAGGAAAGCAGCAGGAGCTCAGGGCAGAAGAGACAGGAGTCATGTTGAAGTCTGAGTGGAAGCTGTATTTGTATTCTGGGGACCACAAGGATGTCGCTGGCAGGTTGGATTCTGCAGCCTCAGGTTCTTTGTGCATGGGACAGTGAAGTCACACCTCCAGGCTGGGGTGGGGGAGGTGCGAATTCTAACCATTGTAGAGCCCACGTTTTTCCCAGGCCTGCTCTGATGGTAGTGTTAACTGACCTTCTCCCAGCTGTAATTTAAGGATGAAAATACCTATGAATGGGCATTAATTTTGTTGAGGAAGTTTAAATTACTCTGAGTTGTGCATGATAGTACACGTTTACATTACCTGTGATTTCTCCGCTTGCGTTTCCTTTCATCAGAGCAGGGAAACATTAATGTATGTACTATTGAATTGGCAGCTTGAAAGAAATCTGTTACATGTGTGCTTAAAGAATGTCCCACAGCTCCGTACTCCTCCAGAAATACAAGTATTTTTGAGAAAATGCTATAGCTGTAGGTTAAGATCAATAAGGCAGGAGGTAGTTCAATTTTCAGAGGTGGTTTTGAAGCTGTGTTCAGACATAATGTTACTTGAATGTGCTATTGTATTTCAAGATGTATTAGTCCACTTGGGCTGCCATAAAAAGTACTTCAAACTAGGTGGCTTAAGCCACAGAAATTCATTTTCTCACAGTTCTGAAAGCTGGAAGTCCAAGGTCAAGGTAACAGCAGGGTTAGTTTCCTCTGAGGCCTCCTCTCCTTGGCTTGTGGACAGCCGCCTTCTCCCCGCGTCCTCACATGGTGTTTCCTCTGTGTGCACCCCACCCCCACCCCCACCCCACCCCCGTTGTCTGTGCATCCAAACCTCCTCCCCTTATAAGGACTCCAGTGGGCTGGAGGGGGGCTCACCCATGTGACCTCACTGTATCTCTTTAAAGACCCTGCTCTGAATACATTCATACTCTGGGGTCCTGGGGGCTTGACTATGAACTTTAGGGGACAGTAACACATAACAAGAAGCATTCATTTAAGACAAAGGCCAGTGACAGTAACACATAACAAGAAGCATTCATTTAAGACACAGGCCAGCGGTAGGAATAAGTGGATCTAGAAATTGCCTCAGGCAGTGACCTCAGTCTTCACCCTGTAGTGAAGGGAGGGATCTAGTGAGAAGAAACACAGGTGTTGGAGGTTCAGACCCAGCATCACAGCCTTGGATAAGAGCTGAGGGGTGTGGAAGTCATTTATCAACCCTGAAGGGCGGGTCCTAGAGTAGCCACTTCACAGGGCTGCAGTGAGAAGAGACCACACGTGCACCGAATGGCCACTTTCGGGCGGCCCCGGCTTTTCTCAGCTGCTGGAATCATCATTGGCAGTAGTCACACTGCCTACCCTGATCCCACACGTTTCTGTACCACCGTCTCCTGTGGGATTGCTACTGGGCTTTACAGGATCCGGTCCCCACAGGAGCTCTGGGCATCATTGCTACTTTTGACCACCGTCCTCATGAGCCTGTGCAGCCTTACTGCCCTGGGCTCAATCCAAGTCCCCACTCCTTTCTTTGTCCTTTCCGCTACGTGTGTATGGCTGAGACAGTGCTGCGTGTGTGTTGGCCTCCTGGTGCCCTTGCTGCAAAGTGGCCTGAGAATTCCTAGCCAGCCTACTGCTGGGTGTCCTGCTCTCCTACCTCCTTTCCCACCCTCTGCAGTCAGTGAAATGCCCTCTCTCCTCTCTCTCCTTTTAATGGAGGTGAAATTCTCGTAACATAAAATTAACCAGTTTAGTTCCTCAGAAAATTAAAAACAAGAGTGTCGTATGATCCAACAATTCCATTTCTGGGCATGTACCCAGAAGAATTGAAAACAGTGATGAAGAGACTTTGAGCGCCCACATTCACAGTGGCATCATTCACTGTTGCTACAGTAGGAGCACCGAGTCTGTCCGGAGATGACGGATAAACAGAATGGGGTGTACCCGTACAAGGGAATATGACTCAGCCGTAAAAAGGAGGGAAATTCTGGCCCACATGACACAGATGCACAGGTACCGTACACTTCCTCCTAGGAGAGTCCCGAGAGGAGCCGGATTCATAGAGTCACAGTGTAGCACAGTAGTTGCCCAGGGGAGAGCAGAGTGAGAGTATTTAATGTGTATAAAGTTGCAGTTTTGCCAAATGAAAAGTCTTGCAGATGGATGGTGGCGATGGACGTCCAGAGTGGCCTTGTTCCTGTCCCCGCTCACCCATCCCTTCTCATCCTCTCTGTTCTGACTGTTTGAAACCTGATTCTCACGTTCACCTCACTTCCCCGCTCAGTATGTCACCAGTTCCTGGGCTTTTTGCTTCCTTGATGTTCCTCAAATCCCTTCAGTACTTCAGCATCACCCTAGTTCATTCTGCTGTCCTCTATCCCCAGGACTGCAGCCACAGCCTCTCCCTCACCCCAAGGGACAGAAATCTCAGCACGAGGCTCCGCCACCCTCCCATCCCATCTTACAGGCTGTGGGTCAAATTGTGCTTCCCAAAAGATGTGCTCAGTCCCTAACGTTGGGGCCTGGTATGTCACCCTATTTGGGAATGGGCTTGTTGCAGGTGTAATTAAAACTTAAGTTGAGTTGGGATCACATAGGAGGGGACCATTAATCCAGTATGACTGGTGTCCATGTAAGAGAGGGAAAGAGACACAGAGACAGGCGAAGGGGGAGAAGACCACAGGAGACGGAGGCCGCGGTCAGGAGGTGCAGCGGCACGCCAGGGATCCCAGCAATGCCAGAGTGAGGAGACAGGAATAAGTCTCCACTGGGGAGCCTCCAGCAGGAACTAGCCCTGCTGACACCTCCATCTTGGCCTCCAGGACTAAGGGGGCAAGACCTCTCTGTGCTAAGATCCCCAGCACTCTTGGTGCTGGGCCTTTTTGCAGCAGCCCCAGGACACTCATAGAGGTAGCGTGCCGAGCTTCAGCCACTCTGAGCCAGTGACGAAACAAGCCTGCCCTTGCTCAGGGCTCCCTGCCTGCTGCCCCTTGTCCTCTGCACTCCAATGACAAATGGGGCTCTTGCTCAAACCAGGCACCCCTCCACCCCTGGAGCCCTGCCCATGCCGCCTCGTCCAGCTGGGCATCCTCACTCTGCCAAAACTCGTCTGCCTGTAGCACCCTCTGAGACCTTTGTGGTGACAGGTGTACTCACATGGTTGTTTGACTCCTTGGTGGGGAGTCTGATGGCTTTGCACGCTGTGGTCTCTCAGTGCTGGCACCCTGACAGACATGGTCAGCTGGTACCTGAGGGAAAGAGGGAAGATGGACTTTATCAGGTGTTGCCCTAGTCCAGACTACCATAACAGAGTGCCAGGGACTGACTGGCTTAAACAACAGACATTGCTTCCTTATGGTCTGGAGGCTGAAAAGTCTAAGGTGAAGGTGTGGGCAGATTGGGCATCTGGTGAGGGTGCTTACTGGTTCCCGGTGCTTACTTGTCCTCACGAAGGAGCAGAGGGGAAGCTCTCGCTCGTCTCTTTCATAAGGGCTCTGATCTATTCCCAAGGTCTCCACCCTCCTGACGCCATCATATTGGGGTTAGCATTTTGGCCTGTGAGTTTGGGAAAGACATTCTGCCCAAACAGACATTAAGTAAAATGCTCGTGCTGCAGCAGAAGACAGGTGTACAGGCAGGGCTGCACTTGTGTAAAAGGGTGGATAGAATCATGGTTTCTTCCTTTCATCTCTGCACGTGATTGGACTCTGTAATCTCATCTCCAATCGGGAGTGAGGGAGTGAGGTGAGGGGGATTCAAGGATTTAATAATAAAAAACCGGGCATGGTGGCACATATCTGTAGTCACAGCTACTTGGGGTGCTGAGGCAAGAGGATCCCTGGAGCCCTGGAATTAGAGGCCAGCCTAAATGATATAGAGAGACTTTGTCTCGGCTCACTGCCTGTGGCTCAAGTGGCTAAGGCGCTAGCCACATACACCTAAGGTGGTGGATTCGAATCCAGCCCACGCCTGCCAAACAATAATGAGAGCTACAACCAAAAAACAGCCAGGCGTTGTGGTGGGTGCCTGTGGTCCCAGCTACTTGGGAGGCTGAGGCAGGAGACTCGCTTGAGCCCAAGAGTTGGAGGTTGCTGTGAGCTGTGATGCCACAGCACTCTACCCACGGGGACAGCTTGAGCCTCTGTCTCAAAAAAAAAAAAAAAAAAAAGAGAGAGAGACCTTGTCTCAAAAAAAAAAAAAACAATGGAAACAGCCCACCCTGGCAGTTTTCCAGTTTTCTGTAGTGAGTTCTTCAGTTACTTCCCGTCTGTCCTGCTTTGGTGATGCTACCTGCTTGTACCTTCCTTTCTTCTGATCTTTTCTTATCAGAGTTGGGGGCTGAACCTCAAGCAGCCCTTTTCCCACTGTAGGATTTTAGCCAAAGTTCTGGTGGGTGTATTTTTTTTTTTTAATCCCTTTACCTTTTGTCTTCAGTGAGAAGCCAGGATAGAGTTCCAGGCTCTGAACCAAGTCTGTCCGCTGATAGCCAAATAATCATCTCTTTTCAGGTTCATTACAACGTTGGCAAAAACCTGGCTGATAAAGGCAACCAAACGGCAGCCATCAGATACTACCGGGAAGCTGTGAGGTACGGCAGGCATGCCTCAGGAAGGAATAAAATCTGAATTATGTGTGGGTTGTTCTTGCTGTCTAGCCTAAAAAGTGTATCCTCTTCAGGATAGGGTGGCCAATTCCTGGGAGCTTAATGAAAACTTCTCTGCATTAACGGTCGGCTTGGTTTCTCTCTCAACTTCCAGATTAAATCCCAAGTATGTTCATGCCATGAATAATCTTGGAAATATCTTAAAAGAAAGAAATGAGTTACAGGAAGCAGAGGAGCTGCTGTCTATGGCTGTACAAATACAGTAAGCCTTGTTTTTAGAATTATGCTGGGGATGAAGACGTGTGCTCCTACATTCCAGCCTCAACCCTTTTTTCTTGTTTACTCTTTTACAAAATGCTCTTCTAGGCCGGATTTTGCTGCTGCATGGATGAATTTGGGCATCGTGCAAAACAGCCTAAAACGGTTTGAAGCAGCAGAGCAAAGTTACCGGACAGCAATTAAACACAGAAGGAAATACCCAGATTGTTACTACAACCTCGGCCGTCTGGTAAGCACAGCATGCCCTGTGCCTCCTTTCTTAGTTATAGTAGAATGATACTAGTGACACCACCTAGCACTCTCCAATTTAAAAACTTTTTTAGAGACTGAGTCTCATTCTGTCGCCCAAGCCACAGTGCAGTTTTGTGACCATACCTCAGTGCAGCCTCAAACTCTGAGGCTCAAGCAATCCTCCTGCCTCAACCTCCCAAGTCACACATGCCACCATGCCTGGCTAATTTTTTCTTATTTGGGGGTTTTGCTGTGTTGCCCAGGCTGGTATTGAATTCCTGGCCTCAAGTGATCCCCCTGCTTCAGTCTCCCAACTCACTGGGATTACAGACATGAGCTACCACACTTGGCCTACAATTTTATAAGTTCTTTATCATGTGTTTATCTCATTTGAAGGCAGTTATTTGAGCTCCTTATGAGTAATTGTTTAAAGCTCTAATTAGAGAGCAAGTCAGATTGAGTTAATCAAGTTTAAGAGACCAAGGCAAAAGGTTATACTGAGGAATAAATTAAAAATTTTTTAATTCCTCCTATCCTGTAAAACAGTGCTCCAAGGGGTAACTTCCTGATAAAAGTCAATTTCTCTGTCTTTAAAACAATAACTGAATAAACATTAAGATTAAAAAAAAATCAGTAGTGTGATTTCTGCGTTTCCTATTCTTTTTTCTGAAAGGAGCAGATCTCTCCAACTGCAGGGGACATTTCCCCCCAAAAAATACAGCCATGGAGGGCACACAATTTATTTGAAAGGGCTTTGGCATTATAGAAATAGGAAGTATTGTGTTTCATAGTAACTTTATACTTGTAGTTATTGACAGAATATGTATAAATCTGATTGCTTTTGTTTTGCTTGACCAAAAAAAATAAGACACATACAAATAACAAAATGTTTTCAACAAGAATGATTGTATTCTCCCCACAGTCCTCTGTTTAATGTGTTTCTAGTATACTTAGATTTATTGGATAAAATTGTTAAGGAGAAACTATTTGTTCATTTTAGCCAAACTGGAGTGCATGTACAGTGATGTGCCTTTTAAAGGAAATTTTTATGTAGATTTCCAGATTTTTAACCTCCTTAGCCTCACAATGGGATAGCATCCTAGTGTTCTAAAGAGAGGCCTATTTATTATCATTTTAAAGGCCTGAAGCTTCTTGGTTTTAAGGATTCCCTGTGTTATCAAAACCAGTAGTTCCTGAAACCGGTTTATACATGCACATCACCCTACCCTCCTCAGAGTTATCAATCAAAAGCTCCACAGGGGATCTGTATTTAAAAATAACCATAGTAAGCCCCCCAGGTGACTCCTACACCCTGTCCTTGGTCCTGCATCTGGGAAGCAGCTCTGTCTGATTTTTGACCTGACAGATTGAGTATGAGCAGAAGGGACCTTCTGGAGAGAGTCGCCTAGAAAACGGCTTTAAGTGTATTGAAAGCCAGGTGTTAATATTTGCCACATTGTGAATGTCTTTGGCCTTGATGTCTTTGTTTCTGGACTGGGTAGCCATGATTTTGTGAGTTGGAGGGTTAGAATTTTATTTTATTTTATCTTTCATGTATTTATTTATTTTTGAGACATAGAGTCTCACTCTGTCACCCTGGGTAGAGTGCTATGGCGTTGTAGCTCACAGCAACTTCAAACTCTTGGCCTCAAGCAATCCTTTTACCTCAACCTCCCAATTAGCTGGGGCTACAGGCACCCAACACCGTGCCTGGCTAGTTTTTCTATTTTTAGTCGAGATGGGCTATCAGTCTTGCCCAGGCTGGTCTTGAACTCCTGAGCTCAAGCATCACACCCACCTCGTGCTCCCAAAGTGCTAGGATGATAGGCGTGAGCCCCCATGCCCAGCAGGGATAGAATTTTATGAGTGGAGGAAACGAGATGGCAGGAACACATGGCTGAGCAGGGGTAGCAGTCAGACCTCCCCTGCAGAAGTCACTTGGTGTGGGCGGATAATGATGACATTATCAATTTTAAAGGGAGCATGTTTTAGTTATGGTGTGCCACAGGAAGGTGCCTTTTCTATGTGCTTACTCCAGAGTAGAAAAGAGAAATTCTTTCTTCCTGGGCTCAGAGAGGAAGGTGGCAGGCATGTGCTAAATCTCTGAAATAGCCAGATGTTTGGACAAGGAGGAGCAATAGCTCCATACTCCTATTGTCCTGTGATCTTCCTCTAGCAGCGCTCGGCCTGGCATGCATTTCTGTTTTCTTTTACACTTTAAAATTCTGTGCTTTGTGAGCTAGTTACACGCTTTGATGTTGGAACAGTTTCCTCTACGAAACCTGTAGATTCAGGGAGAATTGAAGCTATTACAGAGAAAAGCTGTTAGGGAAGGACAGTGGAACGTCACTCACTGTAATGATGCAAATAGAGGCCCCCAAATCTTCTAAGTGAAAATGTAATGACTCCCAAGGACCCTGTACTCCAGTTCACGTACAAGGTGCAGTTGTTCCTCATAGAGTTAACGATGTGAGAAGGGGGCTGAGTGGGGAGGGGGCAAAGGTGGTGTTATCTGAATACGTGCACGGAGGCAGTTTGAATACAGCAGGCAGGCGTCACTGTTTCTGTTTACCGCGTCTGCTGAACTAGTGCTTGAGTGAAATCTGAGGCTTGATTTCCACACGAGTTTTTCTTTCATTCCGGGGGCCGCTCTTCCCTCGGTTGTTGCTTGCAGAGTGAGGGAGTCCACCTCCAGCCCCCGGGTCTTCCTGCCCAGTAGCTGCCAGTCCCTGCGGTTCCTTGGGATTCGGAAAGCAGAGGATTTATGCTAAATGTGCCTTCTGTAAGAGTCAAGTACAAAGAAAGGAACATAAAATACAAAACACCAGCTTCATCATGTGCTCCAGTCCCTGGGATTCATCACACTTGAACTTGGAAGATCATCGGTGGGACGGAGCAGACTGAGACCTCACATGACTCTTTGTTTATATTGTTTACTGATTATGCTGCCCTGAAATGGTCTTCCTGTGTTCCCTTCCGCCAACTGTTCCTGCTTATTGAGGCTTATGCTCCCCATTGTAGTTTAATTATCCAGCTTTTGCCTACTTGACAGCTTAAAAGCATTAAGAGCTTAATCTTTAACAATTCAGCTAACCCATTTATATATTGGCGAGTAAGAGGAAGGCAATACTTAAAATTTTCTGGTTTAGAAATCCTTCTTTAGTAACAGAAGACAGAAATTTGTTTTGATTTCTAGCCCAGATGAGGAGAGAATGTGATGCATTTCTCTTGTGAGGCAGGAAATTAGGCAGAGCTAGGTTCCCTGGGACATATTCCTGATCTCAGAGTTATAGTAGCAGTGGCTGGAGGTACCACCAGAGACATTCACAATGCAAGGATTGATTCTACCAGTCAGGATTTGTTCAGGAGAACATAAACCATGCCAACTATTTTAAATGGAGAAAATTTAATAGAAGGAATTGGGAAGGTGGAAGAGCAAAAATAGAAAGGTAATATTAACTCAGAGATTAGTAAATACAGTAAATCCTGTAGGTTTAGGGAACAAACAGGAGGAGTAGAGCTATAAGAATTTAAGAACTCCGAAGGAGCTCCGGGGTTACCACAACCTCGAGAGCTGAGAGGTGCCTGTGGCTCAAGGAGTAGGGCATCAGCCCCATATACCAGGGGTGGCGGGTTCAAGCCCGGCCCCGGCCAACACTGCAAAAAAAGAGCTGAGATCCTGGAGAAACAACCACTCCTTCCAGCTCTGCGGAGGAGGGGACACAGCCACGTAAGAGACACTGCTTCGAGAAGGAAGGCATGAGTGAGGGTCGGGGAAGGACCACTCCCCTCTCCCCACCATCTGACACCTGTGACACTTGTTGGTAGAAACTTCACACGGAGTGGTTTACAGACCCCGAACCCTGGCCACACAGAATACAGAGGTCCAGACACGGGACTGGTCGGTGAATAACGTGCACCTTACCCGTCCTCTTTCTGGATGGGTGGTTCTTCTTAAACCACCGTTTTTCCCTGCTTCCCTTAAACTGTTTGTTCCTTCTGTATGGATGCTATAGGAAGAACTGAGGTCATGACAAAGACCAAATGAAACAGCAGAACTCAGTTCTGTTGTTATGCTTCAGTAAATAATGATACTTGTGGTAGTAATGATAGCAATGAATGTGAAGAATTTTGCTGTATTGTATAAATGAAGTTATGTTGCTTTTCCTGGGTGTGTTCAAATGTCACCGTGGATTTTCTCCAAGTGACTCAAATGCTTATCACTTGCTGGAGAGAATTGACTTGAGAAAGCCTGGGGACGTAAAATAAGGTCATTTAAATGTTAGTCTAATTAAGCATCCGAAATTATTTTTTTAACTTTTCATATCATTTCCTCATTAGAGTAAAAGACTGTAACTTGAGTTTCTGAGTCTTATTTTTTTAAGAGATAAGAGTCTCACTTTTTTGCCGTTGGTAGAGTGTTATCCTGTCACAGCTCACAGGAACCTCCAGTTCTTGGACTTAGGCGATTCTCTTGCCTCAGCCTCCCGAGTAGCTGGGACTACAGGCGCCCGCCACAATGCACGGCTAGCTTTTGTTGCAGTTTAGCTGGGGCCAGTTTCGAACCCACCACCCTCAGTAAATGGGCCAGTGCCCTACGCACTGAGCCACAGGCGCCACCTGAGTTTCTGAGTCTTGAGGGAAATTTCTGGCAACATCTTTAGCAAATGGGTCCTTTTAAAGGTTTCCATGACTCATTAAATCTTTCTTTCTCTTGCGTAATATGCCATCTATTTGCGTGTGTGTTATAGGACAAGTCAGAATGTCCCTGTTACCCAAAGAAAAGACAGACTTGGCAGTACGTAAGGGAACCGCCTTGAACTCAGATAAACCATGATCATTTATAATTTTTTGCACATTTAAAGGGATCAAGTACATTCAGATGAAATGGTGCATTTCAGCCAAGTTAAGGGCAAGAGGGTGACCTGCTAAAAAAAATCCATCACTTTCTCCCTCTGTGGGCTTTTATTAATGATCCAATGTTAAACAAAATTCCCTCTCAAATGAAAGCAACAGATAATTCTCTCCTTCCTCAACAAGGCAAATAGGCTCCAAATTGTCAGGAGGTTTTATATTACTATAGGTGACTTTTCTAAGGAGTTCGCAAACTATGTCTGATATCCTCATATTTTCATATTGAGTATAGGGATAGGGGGCGGCACCTGTGGCTCAGTGAGTAGGGCGCTGGCCCCATATACCAGAGGTGGCAAGTTCAAACCCAGCCCCGGCCAAAAACTCCAAAGAAAAAAAATAACAATAAAAATAATATTCCAAAATAGCCAGGCGTTGTGGCAGATGCCTGTAGTCCCAGCTACTTGGGAGGCTGAGGCAAGAGAATCGCCTAAGCCCAGGAGTTGGAGGTTGCTGTGAGCTGTCTGACTCCATGGCATTCTACCAAGGGCAACAAAGTAAGACTCCTTCTCTACAAAAAAATTTTTTTTTAAATTAAAAAAGTTTAGGGATAGGCAGGCAGAGAATTCTAGACCATCCTTCCCAAGGGGAGCTGGACACATACAGCTCTTGGTTATGAAATTATTTGAAAAACCAGTATTCTGTGTACTATTCTAAATGATACTTGGTCAAAGATGGACTGATGAAGTCTTTCTGTAAGAAGACGAATGGTAGTCTTTTGTGCAGTATTTCAGTAGTCTGAAACATGATTACATTAATTAGAATCACTAAATAATAGATTATAATTAAGACATTGGGGTGAGGAGCTCAACCACCTAGTTCTAATTCCTGTTTAATCATTTCTACTTATGCACATTTGGGAACGTTACTTAATTTCCCTGTGCCTTACTTATTTAATCTATAAAATAGGGATAATAGTAATATCTACTTCCTTGGGATCATTTGAGGACAAAATGAATAAAAGCTCCATAAATAAAAGTTTGTTTTATTTGTTTGTGTGTTTTGCTTGTTTTGTCTTCGGGGGTTTGGTTGGGTTTGGGTTTTTTAATAGTGTGTCAGAGAGGGAAGGTTGTAAACTTCATCTGCAATATTGACCTGTTGGCCTTGCTTTATTCTCAGTATGCAGATCTGAATCGTCACGTCGACGCGTTGAATGCGTGGAGGAACGCCACCGTGCTGAAACCAGAGCACAGTCTGGCGTGGAACAACATGATCATACTCCTTGATAATACAGGTGCGGGAAGGTGAACTAAACGGATTGCCCCCTTAGTACGCCACCATCGAATACTTAGGAGCTGGAGATGATTGTGCTTCCCCCCAGTTTGAAAGTTAACGAATATGGAGCTAAATATTTTATGTTATCAAGTAGGATTTTCTGAAAGGATAGACATATTGGAATATGAATGTTTGGGAAAATGACCCTTCATTTTGCCTCTTCCCTTAGAACTGGAGCAGGGTCATGGGGGAAGAGATGTGGTATCTCCTTTCTTCGGAAGAAGGTGGGCTTAAGAAATGGGTGGTGTTAGGTCTGTGCTCCAAGTTCACCGACTTGACACAGAAGAGATGCTCTCAGATGACACAGCCATGGGGTTAGAAGTTACTCTGCCCACTTGCCTTTAAAAACCCAAAGAAATGATGATGGTAGACGCAGAAAGAAATATCACATGTTCTCACTCCCATGTGGAGCTAAAAACGTGGATCTTAGGGAGGCAGAGAGGAGGATGGAATTAAAGTTATCAGAGGTGGGGTGGGGGGAGTTGGAGAGAGTTTGATTTATCGGTACAAACAGATCAGAAGATAAGTTCCTTAGCACGGGAGAGGGACTCTAGCTAACAATTTATTGTATATGTCAAAATAGCTACAAGATTTAAAATATTCTCAGCACAAAGAAATGATAAATGTTCGAGGTGATGGATATCCTGAATACCTTGATTTGATCATTACACGTTGTGTTCCTGTGTCAAAATGTCACATGTGTACTCCATAAATGTGTACAGTTATTACATGTCAATAATAGGTGCTTTGATATATGTCTGTCGCTAGGCAAAACACAGAACTCATACTTCAGTATGATAAATATGAAAGTGTTACTATGATACTCTTATTTACCAACTTGTTTTCTCTGCTTTGGGTATAACTGGTATCTGGGGAAAAATGAAAGTAGATTTTATATACAAGTTAATCAAAAGCTGTTTATGTGTCACATCAGGATCGTGCTGAGTTGTAGTGGCTTTGCCGCTGACGAGATGGTGTGCAGATGTGTACGTAACGCATTCTGCCGGGACTTTCCTAAGTGTTTATTCATAACTGCTGTGTACTATGCACGGAAGCCCTTTCAATTCTAGAGACAAAAACGCAAGTACAACATTAACATGTTTCTTACTTTTCCATTTTTTACTCCCAGGTAATTTAGCCCAAGCGGAAGCAGTTGGAAGAGAGGCCCTGGAATTGATACCCAATGATCACTCTCTTATGTTCTCGCTGGCAAACGTGCTGGGGAAATCCCAGAAATACAAGGTGTGTAAACTGCAGCCCATGATTCCTTGCAGTTAAGGCCAGCACCTGACAGAAGTCATAAGTGTTACTTCTGCCCCAGTTAAATTCGGAATCAAGCCAGAACAGTGGCAGTGGTGCGCCAGGGTGGCCCGGTCAGTTTGTTTCCTGGAGAAGTTGCCCAGAAGATGCACGTGGGGGTCGAACTTGGCATCCTTTCTCATCAGAATTAACTACTGCTGTACCACGTCGGCTGGGGCGGGAGCAGGCAGGGGGCTGCTACACGCCGGCCTCGCTTGCTGTGCGGCTGGTGAAGAGAAGGACTCAGAGTAGTGCAGGAATCACCCCAGTCCTGCCCCGGCTCAAAGAGGTTGACTCTCACCCTTGGCTGGAGCTCTGGGTTTTATTTGTGGGTTCCGTCTTCTACCCATGGAGGATACATCACTGGTTCTTGTGCTTCTGAGTTTTTCTTCGTCTAAGTTATAGGCCATCAGCAAGGCCCACAGGTTTCTGACCCCAGATATTGCATCTGTGCTCTGGCTGGGCCCCCAGGCTCTATCAGGAATAAGCTCTGTATATTGAAGGGGACTTGATGTTCCTAACGCCAGGATCTCAAACTTTAATTCTGTATGTCAGACAGAATCACCAAGGGAGCCTGTTGGAACACAGATGCGCTCAGATCATCTCTGTGGGCCAGGTCAGGGAGAATGCACATTTAGCTGCATCCTGGGCGCCTGACACGATGTTACGGCAGCAGCACCTTCCCTCCTTTTGTGAGCAAAACAGGCGCGACTGACTAACATTTCAGCCTGGATTTACTTCCCCCTTCTTGTTCATTACATGTCATTATCAGTATAGTTTTCCATAAGATAGTAAAACATTGCACGTGTGTCCCTCCTGTTTGAAAGTTGGGGGATCTAATGGCTTCACCACACACGCGTAGCATTTTAGATCGTGCTCCGGAGGTGGCTTGTGGAGGAGTTCAGGTTTGTCTTTGATGGATTTACTTGCATAGCAGGGGGAGGCCAGGTTTACAGGTTTCCCTTCTAAATGACCTTTCCAGCCATCTGTCTGCTGGGGGCGGGTCCAGAGTCTCGGTCCTCTTCCAGTGACCCAGCTACAGTGAGTCATCTTCAAGATGTGCCTTATATAATCACTGTATTGATTTTTCTACCATCCCAGTTTATAGATTGGAATTTCCATTAAGGGCACAGAACTCAGGATTCATTTGACTTCCAGTTCACGCTGTTCTTTTTCTCCCCCCAGATAAATTAGAAAATATTCCGTAAAGCAGAATGGAGAAATCAGTTTCCCATTTCTCTACACATTTGCTTCCTAGTTGTTGAGGCCAGAGCACTGGGCCTAAGATAAGGGCGCAGAAATGGAATCTGAAGGCAGGAACTCACCAGGAGCTCTGCAGGAACTGCCATGCAGGGGGGCATGATGGGACTTCCCCAGCAATGACGGCAACCACCAGGCAGGCATTTAATGTAGTTTTTCAATTAAGGGTTTAGAATTGTAAATAAGTGCTCAGGACTCTTCTCGTAATGCACATATGATACCTGTTTCTCTTGGTTGGCTATGTCCCTGATACTGTTTGTTTCAGAGGACCTGTTTCCTTACTGAGCTTGGGGCAGGATGGGGTGCTGTGGGGAAGAGGGCATCTGTGCCCACAGACCCTCCAGCTCGGCTATGCTCACTGACCCACCCAGGGCAGGGCAGGGCAGGGCAGGCCTCTGCCGTCTGGAGCTCACTTTGCTCCTAGATACCTGCTGTTGTACGCTGTCACTCACTTAGCGCATCTTCTTAGAGGCCCTGGAGGCTCCTGGAAATTGGGGCCCAGTTTTCAGGGACACTTAGTAAGCACCCAGTTAGTAGTCGTGAAATGACCAAATGCAGCTCTCATTGGGCCCTGAAACAGTCAGGCTTTGGGAACCCATTCTGAGACTTTGATGTGCAGAGGGAGCATATTCTCGTGATACCATGTGGTCCTAGGGCACCTCCTTATCCTGTCTTGGCAGCCCTTTTGAAAACTTAACAGCAGTCACTTAACTGCTCCTGGCCTCAGCTTGTTCATCTGTGAAATGGAGGCAGTAATCTGCTCAACCTCCTGACAGAGTGATCTGAAAAAATATATAAAAACATAATTTGTAACTATTAAATATATATACACACACAGATATATAATAGTTTAGTGATTCTTAAATACATCTCTAAGGATAAAACGTAGTAGAATTTATTTTACTTCTTGGCATTTAATTTCCATTTGGGGGCGAATGTGATAAAACTACAAAAGTACTGTTTTCCAGTGCTCAGAGCGTTGCTTCCAGACTCTTTCTCTTTCTGTACTGCTGATTACACGGCCCAGTCGTTTCAGAGCAGTTGATAGAGCAGTTTCCAAAAGTCTAGACGTTTATGCCCCACCCTGATTAATTTCTTTTGCCAAACCTAAATATTAACTGACTTATTTTCTTGATATTTTTCTTTGAATAGATTTTTAATGGAAATACAGGGTCTGGCAAAAGTTGGGCCCTTTTTGTACTTGGGTGTGATGTTGGTGTGTTACAAAATTACGTATTTATGACTTTATAATAAAATATTGGCATAGATTACCAGCTCATAAAAAGGGGGTGTTATTGGTTCCATTATTTGTAATTTGCATTCTTTGCACATAATTCTGTAATATAACCATATCACACTCAAGCACAGAAGGGTGTTACTTCTGCCCAGCCCTGTGTATTTTAGAGCAGACACATCCTGTCATTACTGTACACAGAAGGTAACTGAAAATGAAACATTTTATGAAACCTTAGCTAGATGTTCTTCTGGGCAAGGCTCTGAGCCTGAAGTCACCCTCTGTTACCTTCCGAGGGAGACTGGCAGGTGTAGGCAGTAGTTCTCAACCTTCCTGATGCCTCCTAATGCTGCGACCCTTTAATACAGTTGCTTATGTTGTGGTGACCCCCAACCATAAAATTATTTTCATTGCTACTTCATAACTGTAATTTTGCTACTGTTATGTATGGTGATGTAAATATCTGATATATGGGATGTATTTTCATTGTTACAAAGGGGTCGAGACCCACAGGGTGAGAACCGCTGTGTTAGAGGGTGTGGCTCTAACACTGGGCTCAGACTCTGCCCTGACCCAGTCAGAAGGAAGGAGGGGTAACACTCTCCCTGTGTGACTCACGGTTTCCACTTCACTTCAGGCCACCTCCGTGACCTTCCCGAATCCTGAATCGCTGCTGGAGAGCACGGACAGGAGTGAGGGGCTGTCACTGCAGGCACTGCCCGCCTCCCACGGCTGTGGCTGAGATGACCTCAGCCCCTCAGCCCTGAACGTGGGCGCTTGTTCCTACTTAGAAACACACATTGCAAGCCCTTTCTCAGTCTTAAACCTCTTTTGAATGTATTTTGTCTACCATGCTTCATAAAATATTGAATTTCTTTTTCTTTTAATTGATAAAAAAAAATCCCAAGTTTAAATGTGAGTTTATTGGTTCATTGGCATAAATCAGGTCATTGCCTGGGTCTTGAAGCGTTCAGACACCTCTACAGAAGATCGCTTTATAAACAGTTTGCTGCTTTATGAACAGGGCCATTTAAAAGCCTGATTTATGGCCAGGCATCGTGGCTTTCACCTGTAATCCTAGCACTCTGGGAAGGTGAGGTGGGAGGATCATTTGAACTCAGGAGTTCAAGACCAGCCTGAGCAAAATGAGACACTGTCTCTACTAAAAACAGAAATATTAGCTGGTTGCCTGTAGTCCCAGCTACTCAGGTGGCTGAGGCAGGAGGATTGCTGAGCCCAGGAGTTTGAGGCTCCCGTGAGCTAGGCTGACACCATGGAGCTGTAGCCTGGGCAACAGAGTGAGACTGTCTCAAACTAAACAAAAACAAAAAAAGCCTGATTTAATAGATGAGCATTTCATAGGATTTGAATACCCACAGATGTTGGGATGTAAAGTGGCTGCACACCTGGCGCCCAGACACAGGCCCAGGCTGCCCTGGTTACCTGGGATGGAGCCATCTGAGCCGTGCTCACCTCCTCCAAAACTACCCCTCCTCCTGGCGCCCTTTTGCCCTTTGCTCCATGTGCCATTGTGTTTCTACTTTTCCTCCCAGTTGTCTCCACCTGGGAGTTCTCACAGCACCCTGCAGAATCCACGCCCTGCCTTTCCAGACAGCAGCACTCCCTCCAACCCCCACCTACCCCTAAAGGTGTCAACTCCCTGTCTTCAAACCACTGTGTCCCCCAAACCGGCCCTCTCCTCATTGTCCTGGGTGATGTCCATCCTCACTGGCATTTGACTAGTTAGGTGAATCACTAAAGAAACAAATCTGACATTTCCTAGAAAACTCCTAACTTGCCTTTTTTCTTTTAAGACACAGGGTCTTGCTATGTTGCCTGGGTTGACTCAAACTCCTGAGCTCAAGAGCTCCTCCTGCCTCAGCCTCCCAAGTACTAGCCCTAAACCAGTTCTCTAGTTAACAACACTTGCTTTGCAGTGAAGGGAGGATTTTAAAATAGATTTGGTTCCTTCCTATTTCTCAGGTTTTATATTTTAAATGGAAATGTTTGAAAATCATCAGAAGCAGCACAGCTACTTAGAAACCGCTGCAAAACTATACAATCCATTTGATTTTTTTTTCTTTGCAGCCTATCTGATGTGGTAGGAACATCTTGAACCTCTTTGAAGAAGTTTCAGCTACTGAAACTTGGAACGTAGGCACAGACTTTGAACTGACATCCTGGATGTTATCCTGATGTCTTTATTCAGTCCCTCTTGGATGGCAGGTCTAAAATACAAATTTTTTTCTCTGCCAGCTCTGTCTGAAAGTAGTGGTTTCAGAGATGTTCGCTCCCCTTCTCGACCCATTTCTCAGGAGTGCCACAGGCCATAACAGGGCAAAGGGACTGGTCCTCTTATACATTATAAGGTGCGTATCTTAGATATGGAAAACCCATGTGGAAAAAGTCAGCATAGCACAGGTGGAAGCTGCAGAAACTACCCTCAAACCAAGCGCTTTGGTTAGATAAGCTCAGCATTTGCCACTGATTAGGAATGCGAGTGTAGGGTAGGGTAAACACCTCCGGGGACAGGTCAGTAACAGATTAGGCGTCTTTATTTCTCAGATCATAGGAAGGTCCTGTCCAGCCGGCAGCGGTTCAGCAGTGATTAGGTAGGAAGACACTTTGCCCTGTTTCTTAGTGACCAGATTGGAAGTAAGAACTATTTAGAGGAAGAACTGGTCTGCATAAGAATCAGTTCATGCCTATTAGGGGCGTTTGGTCATGGTCATATCCAATACTATGACAACTTAGGTGACAAGTGGCTATTCCTTCCTTATTCTCCCTGCTCATTTTTCCAGCTGAATGGGTTGCATTCTGGTGTTTCTGGTTCTTAAGGGAGGTGAGATAGGTCCCAGCTCCTGCCTCGAGAGCCCTGGAAATGTGATCCTTGGTGCTGGCTGAAGACGGCACCTGCAGGGATCTAGTCGGCAGCCTGGCCTCTTCTGTTCCCCAACTTTTCTCATCCTCTATAGCACCTTGACCCCAGTGACCTCCTTCAAGGTCCATTCCAGCTGCTGCAGGGCGGCAGGTGGCAGAACCCTGGAGCACATCCATCCCATCTCTGAGGTTGGCACCGCCCCAATCACTTTTGCTTCCTTCTAGCTCCTGGGGCCTCCCGTCAGAAGAGGGTGGTCCCACTGGGCCTCCTGAGCATTTCTGGAAGAATGCAGTGGCACAAAAGGAGGATGTTAAAGTTTGAGAACCAGGGGATATAACCAACGATAGCTTTGCTTTGTGGACAACAAATACCTTCTCTGTTATGTCTTTCATTTTTTTAGGAATCTGAAGCTTTATTCCTCAAGGCAATTAGAGCGAATCCAAATGCTGCAAGTTACCATGGTAATTTGGGTAAGAAAAACTTTCAACTTGAATCATATTGAAGTTCTATGTAATTTTAATGGAATGGGTGCATTTCTAGAAAATCAGTGTTGGGAGAAGATTTTTTCAAAGCTAGCCTGTATTGTCCTTCACAATCTGGTTTTTCTATTTATTTATTTATTTGGTTGGTTGGTTGCAGCCATCATTGTTGTTTGGCGGGCCCAGGCTGGATTGGAACCTGCCACCTTAGGTGTATGTGGCTGGCGCCTTAGCCACTTGAGCCACAGGCGCCGAGCCCACAATCTGGTTTTATAATGTGGTCTAGTTATTACATTTAAAAGATGGCAAAGTGACAGTCACATTTATTGGTCTGAAGGCATGAAAAATCAAAAAAGAAGAACAATTGTCCATTCTTTTTATCCCCGTCTAGTGATTACGACTCAGATGTTCCTTGTCTGTGTGAAGGGTCCTGGGACGTGAAGCTGAGAAGCCGTGGAAGTGTCTGACTTACCTCCTTTACCTTCCTGCTTCCATAGGAGATCTTCTCCTTACAGCCTGGTTTTCTCTGCTTTCTTATATCCCCTAATGCTGTGGCTAAAAATGCATTTATAATCATTTTTTCCTAGAATTCATTTCTTCCTGTTTTGTTGTTGTTGTTGTTATTGTTTGGGTTTTTTTTTTTTTTTTGAAACAGTCTCACATTGTCACCCTGGCTAGAGTGCTGTGGCATCAGCCTACCTCACAGCAACCTCAAATTCCTGGGCTCAAGTGATCCTCCTAAGTAGCTGGCCCTATAGGTGCCGGCCACCATGCACAGCTAATTTTTCTATTTCAAGTAAAGACTGGGTCTCGCTCTGCTCAGGCTGGTCTCAAGCTCCTGAGCTCAAGGGATCCTCCTGCCTCAGCTTCCCAGAGTGCTAAGATGACAGGTGTGAGCCACCGTGCCCAGCCTTCTTCCGTTTTTTACATCTCCATAGTTCAGATTTTTAGAGCACAGCATGGCAATGCCGTCGGTGTTTAGATGCTCGGTCATATGAATTTTCTCCACCACATTGGTCCTGTGCTTGTCACGGAAGTCAGGAGGTGTCCCCAGGTGCTCTTCTGCCCATATAGAAAGTTCGTTTTATTAACAAAAATCACCATAATAACCACAGGCTTATAATCAGGTTTATTGCATCTGTCATTTGAGGGTCACATCTTGATATCAGAGGCCTCACTTCCAAGCGGCAATAAACAAGCTGCAGCTTCAGCAAAAGAGGAAGGAAAACCTTTATTGAAAATGAGCAGCTGGATTTCTGGGACATCAGTGCTCTAAGCGGGGCCTGGCCCCACGCTACCCAGCCTCGCTTCCTGGAAATTTCGTGGCAGTTTCAATGACAACTAATGCACTTTTGTCTTTACTTCTTTATGTAATAATGTTGCAACAGGCAGATGTACCCTGTCCAGTACTATGAAGAGCCTTAGACATAACTGGCGGTGGGTAAATCTACAATCACCAGGAGTGAGATTACAATAAATAGTTTTCAGTACAAACAATATTTTTTCAACACAATGATTTTGGGAACTATTTGCAAAGAGTCTGTACTATTTCTTTGCACAACTGGTTAGGAATACTGCAAGTTATTCAGAACCATTTCCAATGAATTTCACCTCCTGCTATTTCAGCTGTGCTGTATCATCGCTGGGGACATCTAGAGTTGGCCAAGAAACACTATGAAATCTCCTTGCAGCTTGACCCCGCGGCATCAGGAACGAAGGAGAATTACGGTCTGCTAAGAAGAAAGCTAGAACAAATGCAAAAGAGAGACGTTTGATCCTTTTTCCTGCATTTTTTTTTTGAGTTTGCGTGTGTGTACATGAGGCATATCATTGATATTATGCGGTTAAGTTTAACCACTTAAGTCTAAACACGTTGTTTATTTCTGTTATTTTTTTCTATGAAAACCGAGACATGCAAAAAGATTATAGCACCAGCAATACACTCTTGAATGCTTGATATGATTTTTGCATTGAAATTGTATTTTTTCAGATGATTCAAATGTAATTCTAAAATTCCAAAAATAGTCTTTTTTAATTAAACAGAAAAAGAGAAAAAATTACCTTGAAATGACTTTTAGTAGCGTTAAACCTGCATTTTGGGATATATGCCTTGTTGTGTGTGGACTAGCACTATTAAACTTCAATGGCAGCCAAGAAAGAACAGCCTGGCTCCTACAATTTATAATATAAATATCAAATGTGTCTGTATATTAGCATTTTTATTTAATGACCAGAAAGAGCAAATTAAGATTCTTGGGGGTTTTTTTTAATCTCTTTTTAAAAAACAATATACAGTGAATTTTGTTTATAAGGAAATATTTATTTGTACATTCACGTTTTGAAAAGGTAAATAATTGAATGAGGGATGGAAATGTGTGTATGCTGTTCTTCTCTAGGAAGAATTGCCTCCTGCAATGTTTGTTTTTTTTGTTTTTTTTTTTGATTCTCCAACTTTGTGCTGTTTCCACGCGTATGTTGCCACTATCAACAGAAAATTCAAGCCATGTTTTAGGCAAGAGCAGGCAGTCATCTTATTTTTGTTATATAGAAGGTTAAGAGGTGACACATCTTTGTTAAGTTGCATTTATCTGTTTTTAATTGTAAAGCAGTTTTCCATCTTGCTTAGTGGAACTAACAGACATTATCCAGAAAAATACAAAATGTTCTCTCGAAAGGAGCCACAGTTGGGGAGTTTGTGGCATTTTTGAGAATTATTTTTCCTGTTGTATTTGATCTGACCATCATGTTGAGATTGGTTCTACTCTGTATGCTGTGGTCCTAATGAATCATGCAATCTCCGTAATTTCTTATGCAGTAAAATTATTACACAAACTAGTGTGAAAATGTCGCATTGCCTTCTTCATAGATGATTTTCATGTCAGTGAATTTTGTGTCCTCTTTTCTCTTAAAATGAAATCAAAATGGCCAAATCTTTTCTAGATGGGGCTTCTGTTTATTTTAGGGGAGCATTTCATTGGCTTGCAATGGTGTTACCCATGTTCAGAAAACAGAGTGAATGGACCCATACTGAGATGAATCTGTTTTGGGGGGTTTTTTGGACAGAGTCTCACTGTGTCGCCCTAAAATGCTGTGGCATCATAGCTCACAGCAACCTCAAACTCTTGGGCTTAACTGATTCTCTTGCCTCAGCCTCCCAAGTAGCTGTGAGTATAGGCGCCTGCCACAACGCCTGGCTATTTTGTTGTTGTTATAGTTGTCATTGTTTAGCAGGCCCAGGCTGGGTTCAAACCCACGGTGTATGTGGCTGGCGCCCTAACCACTGAGCTATAGGCGCCAAGCCATACTGAGATGAATTTGATTCTCAGCACTCAATTTTGGGGAGCAGATATGTAGAGTTATAAGTCAGTAATTGTAACTAATGACGATTGAGATGTATCAGAAAAGGGAGTGACATGTTTCAAATATTTCTTAAATGGTCCCAAAACTAGAGTAATAATTTATAGCTGTCTTAGGGGGAGAGGCTGTCTCATTATTTATGTTCCTATAGTGCTTAAATTGGTGCATAATAGATGCACTATATGCTTTGTTGATAGTTTTCCAAAAACTTCTTCTGAAATAGTCCTTGTCCTCTGAGAGTAAAGAAAAAATAATGTTTCTTATAAAAGCCCCTTCCAGATCCAATTTTTTTTCCTACTGATACTGCAAATCAAGACGTGCAAATCTGGACCCCCGCCTACGGAATGAGTTCCCTTGGCGTTCGCTGCTTCAGCTCTCAGGATTTCCAGGGCAGCTGTTTTCTTTCCAGAGAAAACAGTCATTAATGTGATGGATATTTCAGGAAGTCTTTTATCTCCGCAGATTTTGGAGGCATCCGCAGCCCGCTTTTCTCCTTTTTCCCTCTTCAGGCAGCCACCTTCTTTGTTCCTTCTGAACAGACTGGAGTGGAGGGCTGTCTCCCGCTTCCTCTCTTATTGGGTGTGGTTCTAATGTTGTTTCATTACGAATGACATTTGAGAGGCTGCTGTCAAAACCTGGGGACGTCCCAAGGTTGGGAAATCTCAACATCATCCTTCACCTTCTTGCTGGCAGCATCGTCCCGTGTGGGAGGGTGGTTGGTTGGTCGATGTCCCCTGAGTTACTGCTACGTCTCTTCCTTCATCTTTACGTTTGTTTCCTTTAAGTTTTAGCCTGTCAGATTCAGCCTACCAGGCCTTGACAGGGCTTCCTAGGATTCGGATTCTATTGCATTTCTTAAGCATTTTTTTTTTACATTTTATTTCCAGTTATGGACTTAAAGCATCACACAGAACAGAAGACTTAGGTCCAGCACCAAAGCACTGACATCTATGTCCATATTCACACCCAATCAGCTTGGACTTTGGGGTGAAAAAACCCAGATTTGGGCATTGGCTCTCCTACTGACATCACAGACAAGTCATTTGTCATTGCTTAAGCCCCAGTTCCCATCTGTAAAGTGGGGGTGATAAGACCTCCCTCCTAGGGATGAGGTGGGAAGCTCTCAGACCAGTAAACCTCAATAAATGATAGGTTGGGTTTTGAAAGAGGGTCTATGTTTCAAGCAGACGGATCTGACCTTCAGTACATTGTCCCATTTACTCAACAAATACTAAGTGCCTACTATGTGCCGGACATTGTCTTAGGCACTAGGAGTACAAAGGTAAGTGGAAGTGGACTTGGTCCCTTTCCCTCAGCAGTGGACAGTCGAGTGAGAAAGTAATTCTCCAGTAAGGATAAGATTAATAACTAAGAAGTAGGCCTGATTTAAATAACCTCAGGAAAGGGCTCTCTGAGAAGGTGGATTGTAGACTAAGATTTGATAGAGCAGAAGAAGGTTACACGAGGCCAGTTCTCAATCATGGGACCTCTTGCTATCCCCCCCTCCCCCATTAGGGGGTGCATTTGGCAAGCCTGAAGATATTTTTGGTTGTTACAACTGATTGTAGGGAGGAGAGGTGAGGGGTGTGCTGCTGTACATCCTTTAATGCATAGGAAGCCCTCCCACCCCCTACACAAAAGAACCATCTAGCTCAGAACACAGCAATATCAAGGTTGAGGAAAATCTGGACTACACAGAAGAAACAGCATACACAAAGGCCCCGTGGTGAGGAAGCTGAACTCCAAGGCATATGACTGGGCTGGCAAAGATGACTATAGCCCACTTAAAGACCCAGTGGAGTTTATTGTGATAGGATTCAAAGCAGGGGAGTGACATGATTAGATTTAGATAGAGTTGGCTGGTGACAGGAAGTGTGTGGTGAGGGATGAGAGGTGCCAATGACCTCTATGCAGTTCAGCATAGACAGAGGCTGGCCTTAGAAGGTTCTTAAGAAGGAAGGACACATGGGGCCCAAATTCAGGTGGAAATCTGATCACCTTCCTTACCAAACAGGAAATAAAGCTCCTGTATGTTACAAGGTCCAGATCGGAACAGGTGTTGCCACCTCTGCACATCTGTACAGCAGGCCAAAATTACAATGCCAAGCTTTCTAAGCCTTAACTTCCTCATATAAAAAAGACCAGGTAAGAATGTCTAATTTGCAAGGTTGCTGTGAAAATTAAAGTTAATATAATAAAATGTTCACAGCTGCACTTGAATTGAGCAGTTAAAATGTGGCCAGGCCAAGCTGAGATGGGCGATAAGCATAAAATACATGCCAAATTTCGAAGACTTGGTAAGAAAAATTAATGTGAGATAGCCCCGTAATTTTTATGTTGATTACATGTTGGAATACTTTAGATATATTGAGTTAAATAAAACATTAAAATGACTGTCTTCTGTTTCTTTTTTACTTTTTAATGTGGCTACTAAACTTAAAATTATGCCTGTGATTTGCATTTTGTAGCTCACTTTGTATTTCTAATGGACAGCATTTGTCTAGATCATAGTAGGAGCTAAGTGCATGGTACCTATCTAGAAACCTACTACATTTTTTAAAAAGAACATTTATTACATCTAATTATTGCAGTCTTATTAATTTTTACAATTATTGGATTCCGTAAAGGCCTATGTTTATCATCTTTGTCCTTAAGTCTTCCCTAAATGGACCAGTCAGATCCCCTTTGGAAAACTGGATTCAGCGTACCTGCTAAGACTACATGATTAGCAAATAGCCATAGTTGATGAAGGAGAATCCTCTTTTTAATAAACTAATTAGAGCCAATAAATATTGAAAGACTGGGGATTAGAAAAATCATCCTTTTACTTTAATGTTTCTGGTCGCCTATGAAGTAACCCATTTCATATTGTCCTGGGGTAACTGATATTTTTTCTTCTGGGTCCATCTTATAAATATCTTTGTTTACTGGTGAACCTCTCAGTTTTATCCCATGTTTTAGGTGTCTCTCCATCCCCATCTTCTCCCTCCCTGGAATCTCAACCCAAACTGCATTTTTGAGAGCTGAGAGCCTCCCCTCTTCCTGTTGACACAGCTTCTGGAAACACGTCTCCCTGCAACTGTCCATCTGAGCCTCATTGGTCCTGCACAGCCATTGCTCTTCTGACTGTCATAGACTCACTCACTGTACAGCCATTTTCTCCCATGGCTGCTATTATCCTCACTTTACCAACTGGCTTCCATTGGTTAATTAGAAATAGGTTGTTACCTGTGGCTCCAAAACTTAGTCATTTAAAATAATAATAATTTATTTTGCTCATTATGATGGTTCATTTCACATGTCGGCTCAGCTAGGCCATGAGGTGCCCGTATATTGGGCTCCATTGATCCAAATAGCTCTGCTTTTGCTCCCTGTCACAGAAGCTTGGGGTAGCACAAAGGCTGGGCCTGGAATCCTCTGAATCTTGCTCACTCACATGTCTGGCAGTTGGTGGTGACTCAGACCTCATCAGGGACTGAGACCAGGAATACCGACACCTGGCCTCTCCATGTGGACATTTGGGCTTCCTCACAGCATGGCAGCTGGGTTCCAAGAGGGTCAAGTAACAGCTGAATTGCCTTTTCTAAGCTAGCTTTGGCCATCTCAAGTATCCCCTGGCACAGTCACACAGGCCCGTTCAGATTCAAGGAGAGGAACATAGACCTCACATAGGAGGCATGTCAACAACATGTTACCAGCCACTGTCAACCTGAACGGCCACTTCATGCAGGACATAGCTGGTCAGGCCCTAACAAGGCCAGATGCACCTCTATGCTGACCTCTGGAGATTGTTTATTCACTTCCAAGGCTACTGTCATAGATGAGTTGGGGAACTAGACTCCATGGTACCAGTGAAATGTTGACTAACTGTAAATTTAGTCTGGAGTAAGAAGCGTTTTGAAGATATAACCACTTTAAGATAGGAAGATATTATGTAACTTTGTAACCTATGAGGAGGAATCTGAGGTATACTATGCTGAGTAATAAAATTGCTAATGTTTACTTTTCTGTGAGACTAAAAGTAACAAAGGGAAAGAGGAGGGCAGAGCACTTCTTTGGGAGATGTCCTCACTGGTCTCCAGAATTGCTGGATTTTTGGTAAATAGAAGTGAAGCTGTTGCTCTCTCATCTGCTTCTCTGGTGATTGGCTCGGGTGACAGGCAGATGGACTCCTTGGTCTGGCAACAGTCACACTGTAGAAAGGACACATGGGAAGTTGCGTGATGACCATCTAGGAAGTAACAGTTTCCCAGGTAGGTCTACAGTAGCCTTTACCTTCTGTTTCCAGGCTAGTCTGGAATTGAAATTGTCAGTTAAAATGAGTTAGAATCTTGTCAGGGGCTCTGTCAAATACAGCATCCAGCAGGTGGTTCACATCACCCGGAGCATCCTTCCACTCAGTGGTGCACTGACGCCAGGTGGGGGATTTCTGTTTTGAGACACATCATTCATTTCCCACCAAGCAGGTTAGATGGTACT